CCTCCCTGGGCTCCTTTAGGAATTCCAGGCATGGAATCTTTCCTATACTGGTAAAGGTTCGCTCTTTGTCCCCTGCACTCTTGGAATTTACTGGGGTGGGGTTAGGTCCTCCATCATTCAACAAACATTTATTAACCACTTACTATTTGCCAACTGAACAGCAGAGTGATAGCAGAGAGTGCCTCAGGGAGACCTGGGTTCAAGCTGTGTCTCTGACACAGGGGGCTGTATGACCTTGGGTAAGTCAACTAGCCTATTGGTGCCCTGGACAACTCTCTATGATTATAAATGGCAGAGAAGGTTCTGACTGGTATTGGTGGAAGAAGTGCCTTGTGAGTAGCTCCCTATACCCATGAAATCACAGGTCCACTTTAAACACAAAAAGTATCAGACCCTGCACTATGTATTGAGGATAAAAGACAAAAATGAACCAGTCTCTGCCCTTAAAGAGTTTCCATTTTAATAGGGAGAAATATGTATAAAGTAAATGCAAAATATTTACAAGCTATTTGGGAATGGATTGGTCAAGTAACAGCTAAATATGCTTAAATGCAGGCTGGCCATCCACCTTTTAGAAAACTGAAAGGGGCTCAAGATGTTTATCTTTTCATTCTTCAGGTTATTAGGAAGAATGAAGTAAATAGTCCTTAAAAAGAAGAAAGGAAGGAAGGAAGAAAGAAAGGAGGGATGGAGGGAGGGAAGGAAGGAAGGAAAGGAGGAAGGGAGGGAGGAAAGAAGGGGGAAAGAAGGAAGGAAAGAAGGAGAGAAGGAAGGAAGGAAAAACAACAGAAGTGCTTCACTGCAAAAACAAAGAAAAGGATCTGAAGAGGAAGAAGGAATCCTGACCTGTGTCAGGAGTCTGGAGGGAGGAAGGAAGGAAATAAGCATTTATTAAGCACTTACTATGTGCCAGTCTCTGTACTAAGTGCTGAAGATACAAATAAGAAAAAGAAATAGTCCCAACCCTCAAGGCACTTACAATCTAATGTGGGAAGACAATACACAAAAGGAAGGGAGAAGAACACCAGGGTATATCCTTGAAACCAAGGAGATGGAGAACCAGGGGTTAGCTGGAAAGTCCTAAGCCAGAGTTTGGGGAAGAATTTACTGCTCTGCCCTCCAGCCCTTCAGTCAGAGGGGAGAGGTAACTGAGGTGCCAATAGCCAGTGAAAAGGCCTACCTCAGTGTGTGTAGACACCCTGGACTGGTGTTCTATGAACGCTCATGCTTTGGCTTAAATCTCTCCTCAGACATTTAATTACTAGCTATGGGACCCTGGGTAAGCCATGTAACCACCCTGAGCTGAAAAGAGCTTTAATTTTAATTCTATTTAATAGAGATAATAACAATACCTGTAAGTACTAACCACACAGAGATATAGGAATGGATGTAGCGAGTAAAAAGCCAGCCTCTGGACCAGGAAAACATGGGTTCAGGTCTTAACACATACTGGTTGTAAGACCCTGGACAAGTTACTTAATCTCAGTGTCCCAGGCAACTGTCTAAGCTTAAGCTGCTGAGGTATCAACCTATATTGGTAGAAGGATGGGGAAACTGGGTCTCACAAAAGCTAAGAGAGGCACCTGCCTGCCTGTCAAGTGACCTTTCTATCCAGTTCTATAGGTAGCCTGGAGCTGGCCTCCTCCCCACAAACTAATAATAGCTAGCATTTGTATAGTGCCTACTATGTGCCAGGCACTGTGCTAAGCACATTACAAACACTATCTCATTTGTTTCTTTCACAACCTTGGGAGGTAGGTCCTATTACCCCATTTTACAGTTAAGAAAACTGAGGCAAACACCGGTGAAGTCACTTACCCAAGGTTGCATAGCTATTAAGTGTCTGAGGCCGGATTTGCCCTCAGGTTTTCCTGACTCCAGGCCTAGTGCTGGCAGCTATTCCAGTTCAAGAACACAGCTGGTTAGGCCTGGGCAAGGGAAATGAGGGGCACCGATGAGGAAAGGCCTCAGTGGTGGCCTCAGCATCTTCATGATTTGGACCAGGAGCCAGCTTTGGCTAACTCACGTCATCCATCACCTCCAGCAAACATCCCAAAGGTGGCCAATCCCTGTTCTCCACAGTGCCACAACGGGACCACCTAGGAGCTTGGAGAAATACAGCCACCAGCCCAAAGGGGACTGACGGTAGCAGGGAGGAACATGGCCACCCCCTGCGGCTTCCCCCTCACACACTAGTGCACACAGACAGCTCCGGGATTGCTAAGTGGCGTGAGGAGAGGGGGCAGAGACAGATGTTTTGGGTGCCCTCTCACCCACCCTCAATTCATAGCACTCCTGCATAGCGAGTTAGCATTTATTTAGCATAAGGTTTGCAAAGCACTTTACAAATATTATGTCATTTCATCCTTACAACAACCCGGGGAGGTAGGTGCTATTATTATTATTATCCCCATTTTACAGATGAAGAAACTGAGGCAGACAGAGGGACTTGCCCAGGGTCACACAGCTATTTAAGTATCTGAGGTTGGATTTGAACTCATGAAGATGAGTCTTCCTGACTCCAGGCCTGGCACCCTATCCATTATATTTCTCAGTTAGTGTCTTATCAGAGACGGAGTCCTGGACCAGGAGGACTGCAGAACAGGCATCCACTGAGCATCATCTGTGCGGAAGGCACTCTTCCGCACAGAGGAGGCAAAATAGCCCTCACCTTCATGGACTTCCATTCTCCTAAGCCAGTAGTTCTCCAAGGGTGGTCAGTGGATCCTTTCAGTGGATTGCAACGTTGAAACCATTTTCATAATAATACCGACATTATTTGCCTATTAAAAAACTCCTCGGGGCAGCTAGGTGGCACAGTGGATAGAGCACTGGCCCTGGAGTCAGAAGGACCTGAGTTCAAATCCAGCCTCAGACCAAATACTTGACACTAGCTGTGTGACCCTGGCCAAGTCACTTAATCCCAATTGCCTCGAAAAAAAAACAAAAAACAAAAAACAAACAAACAAAAAATACCAAATAAACAAACAAAACAACTCCTCCCTTATCCAACTACATATTCGTGTGAGGCTGGGTTTTCTTCATATTCTTCAACCAAAACAACTTCTTGCAACAGACTATATGCAGAAGAAGCTAGGAGAATTCAGCTGTCTTCAAGGAAGATAGACATTAAAGAGATTTGCAAAAATATGTAAAACAGTAACATCCTCCTCCCGAAAATTTTTTTGTTTCTGAAAAGTAGTTGTTTTCATTAAAATGTTACTGTTATTTTAAAATGAAAAAATAAATAAATATTTTAAACTTAACCATTTTAACTTCTAATACAACCAATATCAATAACTATAATCCACATAAACAACAGCTTTCTGGCAGGTTTTCAATAATTTTTAAGAGTTTGAAGGGGTCCTAAGACCCAAAAGCTTGAGAACTGCTATCTTAGGGGAAAGAACATAGGAATAGATAAGTGATTGCAAAAATAATTCGAGAAGGGGAAAGAATGCTAACAATTAGGGGAAAACAGGAAAGGTACATGACCTGAACCTTGAAGGAAGCTAGAGATTCTAAAAAGGAGAGGGAGGGAAGGAGGAAGTGCAACTCCAATCTGTGGAAGAGCCTGCATGGAGCTGAGAGATGGAATATTGTATAAAGGGAACAGCAAGGTTAGATGGACCATAAGGAGGGGAAGGGGGGGAGGGGTGGGGCACAGGAAGGGGGTAATGTTCTGGAAAGATAGTGGGGAGCTGAGCTGTGAAGGTCTTTTTTTTTTTTTGGTGAGGCAATTGGGATTGAGTGACTTGCCCAAGGTCACACAGCTAGTATGTGTCAAGTGTTTAGTCTGAGGCCGTGTGAAGGTCTTTCAAGACCCATCAGAGCAGCTTCATTTTATCTTAGAGACAACAGGGAGTCAGTGAAGATTCTTGAGGTGGGGAGCGACAAGGTCAGGCCTCTGCTTTGTAAGATTATTTTAAGTTCTTAGAGGACAGAGAGATGGGAGGCAGAGAGGCCAATTCATATCATAGAACAATAGAATCTTAAAGGTGGAAGGTCCCTTGGAGATTTTTACATCTTTGCTGTGCATGAAGCAGGAATCCCTCTACAGTGTCCCTGAGAAGCAGCCATCTAGTCTCTGCTTGAAGACTTCCAGTAATGGAGAACTTCTACTTTTTTTTTTTTTTAACGTGAGGCAATTGGGGTTAAGTGGCTTGCCCAGAGTCACACAGCTATTGAGTGTTATGTGTCTGAGGCCACATTTGAATTCAGGTCCTCCTGACTCCAGGGCCGGTGCTCTATGCACTACGGCACCCAGCTGCCCCAAACTTCTACTTTTGAACAGCTCTAATTGTTAGGAACGTTTTTTCCCCACACGAAGCTGAATCCTTCCTCCCTTCAGCCTCCTCATACTGCTCCTGCTTCTGCCAAGAAGCCTAATCTCTTTCCATGACAGCCCTTCAAATACTTCCAACGAAACACAGAATGTCAGAGTTGGAAGACACCTAAAGACACCGCTCGTACCTTCCTTAGGTCTTCTCCAGGCTAAAAACATCCCGCAAATCCCTTCAGCTGATCTCGTATCCTTATATTCTTATTTCTACTTTACCTTTAAGACCCAGTTAAAATAGTACCTCCTTCCTGAAGCTTTCTTTGATCACCCAGGCAGAAATGCTCTTTCCTTCCTCAGAATCTGAATAACACTCTGACTGTACCTTTCTTGTGCCCTGACTGTGCTCTTGTTAGTATTATAGTGTGTGTGTGTGTGTGTGTGTGTGTGTGTGTGTGTGTTGTTCCCTTACCAAACCTACCCCTCCCTCATACTGTGGGTTCCATGAGGGCAGGGCCCATGTCTATTTATTTTTGTAGCCTTTCCTGTATCTGGCACAGGGCACTGCTGGATAAATATTTGTTGAATAAATGTTACTCTTTCGATAGGCAGCTCTGCAAGGGAAGTGACCATGACTAATCTTCACCACATCCCTCAAGCCCTTAGTATATTCCCTCTGAATAAGGAGAGACTGTTACCCTGTGCCTGAGGCAGGCCTTACCATCATGGTTGGCGTTCCCCAGTGTCCACGGCTCATCAGAGTCAAAGTGAGTGTCTCCACCAATCCCAGGGCCTGGGAAGTAGGCATGGGCTAGGAATCCCCCTTCGCCATCAAAGGGGGAGCTGTCCCCATGGAAACCAGAGGCAAAGAAAATCATGATGTCTGCTTCCTTGCGGTCACTTTTAATCTCGTGGTAGGGAACTTCCTCAAACGTCAGTGGAGTGACCTTCTGCCAAACGTCAAAGGCCTGGCGGATGGCTTTCCGTGTGTCCAGCTCGCCTACTTTGGGGGTGTAGTTGTGAATGCTGGTGAGAAAGGAGAAGGTCAGTGAGGGGGACGTAGACCCTCCCAGGGCTAAGGATGAGGCCATGAGGCCATGGCTCAATCGTTTCCAGGCTTGACCTCTCCTTCCTGCAGCAGGCCCTTTCTCCTTCTTTCTCTCTGGGTCCACTTCCTCCTCCCTTCTCTCAATGGCATTAATCATATTAAACCCTCAGGATGTGAGTCGAGCAGTCACATCCATCATCTCATTTGGTCTTCAGGGGAGGGGAGGTATTGTAGAACTTATTAGGAGGCGTGTTGGGGTAGGGTGGAAGGTAGGCTGATCTTGGGGTCAGGAGATTCCCTGTTCAAAGACTGCTTAAGGGTGTTTGCTGGCTGTGTGACCACGGGCAAACCATTTCATCTCTAAACCTCAGTTTCCTAATGAATAAATCAGAGATAATAATACCTACTTCACAGGGCTGTTTTGAGGATCTACTAAGATGATGTATAGAAACACTTGTTAAATCTCACAATGCTAATATGAATGTGAGTTACTATTATTTACAGCAGACAAAAACTGAGGCCCAGAGAACTCAGGAGATTTGCCCAAGCTCACACAGCAAGTCAGGAGGAGACTAGGGACTAAACCCCAAACCTCCTGACTCAGTTCCTAAGACCCTCCCAGGCTGTTCCACTCTGCCTTTTAAGGAACAGAAACCAAGTTTTTGCCATTTGGTTTCTTTTACATTTCCATTCTGGTTAACTGTGGGCCCTGGTCATAGCTCCTGGAGATGTCCAGTCTGGACCTTGGCCCTGAGCTCTGGGAACTGGTTGGGGGAACCTAAGTTTATCCAACTCCTGCTTCCAGTCTTAGAATCACATAATCTGAACTGGAAGGAACATCTCCGATATCATCAAATACCATTGGTGCCTGAACGAAAATTCCCTCTTCAATATTCCAACAAGCGGTCATCTAACCACTCCTGGAAGACCTCCAGGGATGGAAGGATCACCCCTGAGACAGCTCATTGCACTTTTAGGATTCTCCAGTCCATGGAGTGGAAGTGTGCCTCCCTGTAAAATTGATTTTGTTCCTAGTTCTGCTCCCTGGATCGATGAGAACATCTCTCTCAGACAGTCCTTAAGATACTTGAAGACAGCAATTGCGCTGCCCTCCCCAACCCCTCCCCCCTCCACAAAGTCTTCCCTACTCATCTCCGGTTCCTTCAACCTATCTTTCAATGGCATTATCTCCAGTCCTCGAAGCATATTAGTCACCCTCCCCTGAGTGCTTCAGGAGATACGCTCTCTGATCCAGACCCAACAACCCCCAGAATCGTGCCCTGTGACAGACTCCAGGATCCGACCCATTAGATTCCAGCACGAGCTGAAGCCTAGTCCTATAACAGTAGTGTATAATAATAGCACCTTGCCTATCAGGGTGGCACTGGTGGGGTCAGGGCCGGGGGAAGGTTAGGGATAGGAGGCAGCCAAGCAGAGGTCCCACCAGAGTCAGACTCTCCTAATTAGCGTCTCCTGGTGGAGTGCATAGGACGCTGATCAAGTCAGAGGCTGGGACAGACTCAGTGACTTGTAGGATACAGAGCCGGAAAAGTTACCGTCTAGTCCAACTCCATTTTGCACACCAATTATCTGAGGCTTGGTGAAAAGGGACTTTTCTCACACAGATAGAAGATAGCAGAGTCAAGAGTAGATGTCTGATCCACTGACCATACTAACACCCACGTCCCACGTCGCTGGCCCTTGTACCCCATTGAGCCTTGATTCCAACCATAATAAGGGTGAGCATCAGATCACAGTAGCTCCAGAGTCCCGAGAGCCGTACTCTCCCCTGGATGTGAGAGTGGATCCACACCCACCAGGCAAGAGCACTGGGAGAGTGAGCAAAGCTTACCTGTATGTGATGTGTTTCTGCCTCCACTTCTGCCCCGTCAGTGCATAGCGCTTGTTCCTGCGCCGGCGGCTTAGGTGGGGGTGATCGGGGACACCGCAGCGAGGTTTCTTCATCCACCTGGGCAGAGAAAACATACATGTACACACTGGCCAGAGAGCTTAAGAGACAGGCACCAAAGGCAAGGCTGGAAGGGCCCTTAGAGATCATCTGGAGAGGCAGAGCCATGTAGCGACAGGACAAGCACAGGTCTGACAGATGGAAATCTAGATCTGAGTGGCACAAAAGATAGAGCACTGGGACTTGGGAGTCAGGGAGATTTGGATTCAAATCTCCACCTCAGACACTTACTAGCTGGGCAAGTCTCAGTGTCTTCATCTGTAAACATGAGAGCTTTGGACTCAGTGGTTTCTAAGGTCCTTTCAAGCTCTAAATCGATGATCTTATGATCCTGTAAGTGCCAGCTCTGACACTTATAACTTACGGGCATCTATTCGTACATGTATATCTCTTTGAGGGTAGAGACTTGGGCAGCTCAATGGTCCAATGGAATTGCACCTCGGATGTTTATCACCTTTGGGACCTCGGGCAAAACAGTTCATCTCCTTCAGTCCTGGTTTCCTCATTCATAAAATAGTGATAATAATAGCACCCGCCATAAAGTGCTCTTTGGCAAACCTTCAAGTACTATGTAAATACTAGTTATTATTATTATTGTTACTGTTATTATATATCTTTGTATCCTTGGTGCCTAGTACAGTAGGCTTGTTGATTGATGGATCACTATGTTCTTGGATGAGACACTGAAGTTTCCCAGTGTCCAAATCTGCAAAATGGGAATAATAATACTTGCTCAGCCTCTGCTACAGAGCTTTTAGGGGGCTGAAATGAAATAATGGGTGTTGTGACTATAATTGTGGGATGTTATTGCCCTTAATCCTTTTTTTTTGTTTCTGGTTAGGCAATGGGGTTAAGTGACTTGCCCAGGGTCACACAGTTAGTAAGTGTTATGTGTCTGAGGCTGGATTTGAACTCAGGTCCTCCTGAATCCAGGGCTGGTGCTCTATCCACTGCGCCATCTAGCTGCCCCTGATTGCCTTTAATCTTATGGAGGAAGAAACCGAGGTGGAGCAATTTGCCCTCTGTATGTTAACAGCAAAGCCTAGACCAGATTCTGCTTTCCTATCTTTCAGAAAAACGTGCAGCTCATCTGGTGCTCATAGCTCAGCGTGGCTTTCCAGGTCCTGTTCTGAAGGGAGGAGAGGTTCTGCTCCCATGCCTTTCCCTACCACTGCGGCCCATACAAGCAGTACTGTGAGCAGGACCACAGTCTATGGGCAGTCTGGCATTGGTGTTGAATTGTTCCTGATACAGCTGATCTGGTACGTGTGGTAAGGACCAGACTTAAGGATGCTCCCCTCCTCCTGGATAGTCTGTGCCTTGGGTGGTGGTGGGGTTGTCATGGAACCTGGGGGCTGGCCTTCAGGAACTCCAGTTCTGTCAGCTCACCCAGGGAGATCAGGTTCTGGAGAACAGACTGCCACTAACCAACCCCACAAGACTAATTAATAAACTAAATACCGGAGTATTAACTTATGCGGAGAAGTATTCCTGGCTGGCTCAAGTACCAGCCCTACCTAAATGCTCAGGGTTCTTCCTCTGGTGGGTTGGTCCGCTCAGGAGACCCAATTACAAGAGTCAAAAGGTTACGTGGCAAGCAGAGAATCAGAACAGAGGGAGCTGACTATTCTTAAGGGGAATTTCCATCCAGCGATGTTGTTCTCCACTCCAGGGACATTGATTGTCTAAGAAACTGATATGGGGAAATTACAAATAAGTGGCACAGTGGATTAAGAACTGAGCCTGGAACCAGGAAGACCTGAGTTCAAATGCAGCCTCAGAGACTAGCTGAGTGACCTCTGGGCAAGTCACTTCACCTCTGTCTGTTTCAGTATCCTCAACTGTAAAATAGTAATAATAATAATAGCACTTACTTCCCAGGATTTTGCAAGGATCAAATGAAATCACATTTTTAAAGGCCTTAGCATGGTACTTGGCATATGGTAGGCACTTAATAAATGCTTATTTCCTTTCTTCCTTCCTTCCTTCCTTCCTTCCTTCCTTCCTTCCTTCCTTCCTTCCTTCCTCCTTTTCTTCCTTCCTTCCTTCCATGAATGAAAGAAGGCTAATAAAAAGGTAGGGAGATGGGTGATGGAGTGTTGTGTGGGAGGAATGGCAAGAATGCCAGTTTGGCTAGACCACAGAGTTCTGGAAAGAAAGGTTAGAGCCAGGTTGTGAAGGATTTTGAGAAAGCTGTGATCACTTCCAGTTATGGTCCTATAAGACAATAAGGCCGTGCTGGTTTGTCCCTAGTTCTATCCATTGTGGGCGGGAGTAGAGTAGAGGTGAGCTCTAATTTGAGAAGATCCCTAGCCATTCTTTAAAAAAAAAATGTTTATCAATGCCTTTTGTTCATACATACCAGACATTTCCAAGTATGCTCTCTAACCCTGAATAAAAGCAAAACCAACTGATTTTATATATATATATATATATATATATGATATGCTTTTATTGTGCATGCAACATTCAGCACCCTTAGTACCCCACCTCTCTACAGAAAGGAGGGCAATGTTCTCCCAGGCCAGAGGGGTCATTAGGGATTTGGTTTCCTTTCAGTGTTATTTCTGTTTACATTATTATAGGAAGCATTTGAAGGCAGATCTTCCTTACTCCAGGCCCAGAGCTCTATCACCTAGCCGCCTTGAATGCTCCTTACCTCTACCTCTTAGACTCCCTTACTTCCTTGAAAACTCAGCTGAAGCACCACTTTCTTTTCACATGAATACTTTCCTCATTCCAGCCTCTCCACCCCAGCTTCTAGTGGTTTTCCTTCCTCTTTCCCCTCTCCCCAAATTCCCTTGTATTTACCTTGTAACTATTTTATATGCACTTACATACATGCAGGCTGTCTACCTAGGTAAAATATAAGTACCTCTATGATAGCAACTATTTTGGTTTATCTTGGTATCCCCAGCACTGAGTATAGTGCCTGGCACATAGTAGGTGCTTAACAAATACTTGTTGCTTGACCGATACCCTCATAAGGTCAGCAGAACTTTTACAAGCCATCTCTTCAAGCTGGTGATTTCTGCATACGGTTAGTCTTATCCATTGATTTCTCTATGGGTCTATTTCAGAGGATGACACTTTTGAGCCTGGTACCTAAATCTTGAGGTAGCTAGGTGTTGTAGTGGATAGAATGCCAGGCCTGGAGGTAGGAAGATCTGAGTTCAAATCTGGCTTCAGACACTTGCTAGCTGTGTGGCCCTGGGCAAGTCACTTAACCCTGTTTGCCTCAGTTTCCTCACCTGTAAAATGAGCTGGAGAAGGAAATGACAAACCACTCTAGTATCTTTGCCAAGAAAACCCCCAAAAGGAATTATAAAGAGTTGGGCACAACTGAAAAACGACTGAACAACAACAACCACTACCTAAACATTGGAGGCAACCTCTATTTGGAAATTATAGCCTGTCCCCATCTTCATACACTGACTAGTTCCATGCTCTCCCTGATTGGGTTGTAAACCCTGGGAGAGCACAGCAGGCCTTCTGAATGTTTGTGACTTCATAATGAGTGAGTCAGTCCATAAACACTTATTAAGCTCCTATCATGTGCCAGGCCCTGTGCTAAGCATTCAGGACACAAAGAAAGGAAGATAGCTCCCAAGGAGCTTACAGTCTAATGTGGGAAGCAACAGGAAAACAAATATGTACAGACAAATTATAGACAAGATACATTTGAAAAAATCAACGGAGGAAAGGCATTAGAATCACAAGAAATCAGGAAAGGCTTCCTGTAGGAGGTGGGCTTGGCACATAATAGGTGCATTGTGTGCACTGGTGGTGAAATTGACCAGCTCGAATATCTAAGAGCCTAGGCTGGAAGTTGGGAGATCTGGATTCTAGTTCCAACTCATCGCAAATGCTCTATGACCTTAGGCAACTCACTCTCCCCCTAAGTTGTTGTTCAGTCATGTCCAAACTTCGTGACTCTATCTGGGGTTTTCTTGGCAGAGATATTGCAGTAATTTGCCACTGCCTTCTTCAGCTCATTTTACATACGAGGAAACTGAGACAAGCAGGGTGAAGTGACTTGCCCAGGGTCATACAGTTAGTAAGTGTCGGAGGCCAGATTTGAACTCAGGAAGATGAGTCTTCCTGACTCCAGGCCCAGCACTCTATCTACTGCGCCACCTAGAGCCTTCTGTATACCTCAGTTTCTCCACATCTGTAAGTCAGAGATAATACCTATACTGAAAGCCTTCATGGCATAATGGCTAGAGACCCAACCTTGGAATCAGGAAGCTCTGGGTTCTAGTTCTGTTACTGACACATACTAGCAATGCAGCCACAGGCCAGTCACTTAACTTTTCAGCGACCTGAGCAACTATGTAAGACTCTAAGTTTATAGACTCGGTAGCAGGGAGAAGGAGAAAGGAATCGGCATTTATATGGCACCTACTATTTGCCAGGCACTGTGCTAAGCACTTTTCACAAATATCACGTCATTTGATTTTCCCAATAACCCTGGCAGATAGGCGCTATTATTATCCCCATTTTATAGTCAAGGAAACTGAAGCAACAGAGGTGAAGCGACTTGCCTGGGCTCATACAGGTATAAGTGTCTGAGGCCAGATTTGAACTCAGGTCTTCTTGATTTCAGGCCCAGCGCTCTATCCACTAGGCCACCCGCTGCCTTTGTGGCTGAAGTTTTCCACACCAGAAATTCCTTACATTGGTGAAACCCCAGGCTAGACCAAAAAAATAAAAACAAAAATATTTACTCTATCTCATAGGGTTGCTATGGGGGGAAATGCCTTTTAAATACAGGCCTTGGATTGTTAGTCAAGTTCCCCTATCAATCCTTGAGCTTCCTCTTCTGACCCTAGATTGATCCAGGGGTCACTTTGAAATGCATCTCTGTGCCTCAGTTCCCTCATCCGCAAAATGAGGAGAATGCTCAGCCTTTACCTTCCCCCGCACCCCAAAGGCACCAGAAAGAAAACTGATGATTGACAGGCAGACAAGTGGGAGATGCTTTCTTCTCTACCCAGATCATCCCCTCTGCCTCCCCCCACCATCTGACTGCCCTCAGCTGAACCCCAGCCAATGTGCCTGTGTCTTTCTGGAACAGAGAAGAAACTAAGGCCAGGTGGTCCCTCAGCAGTGGCCATCTCCCTGCCGTGTGAGGCTCTGCTGTGCTGCACCATACCAGGGCTCAAAATAGTCCCAGCTTCTTTAAGGTAGCCCCAGTCGATCCAGGCTTATGCTCAATCATAGAATGTCAGAGTCGGAAGGGGCCTTCGAGATCACCTACTGCATCGCCTTTACTTTATAGATGGAGAAACAGGGTCCCAGAGAGAGGAAATGATCCACTTTTACCAGCAGCACTGAGAGGTAGACCCCAGTACTCCTGACTCTGGCTTCTCTTAAGACCTGGATTAGTGTCTTGGCTCTGCCACTCACTACTAGTGTGACACTGGGCACATCACTGCACCCCCTTCGAGCCCCAGTTTCCTCATATGTAAAATGAAGATAATAACACTGTGAGCTGTGAACCTCCCAGGGCTATTCGGAGGATCAAATAAGGTCACGGATGCACTAAATAAATGACAACTATCATTATATTAATACTAGAACAGAATAAATTATTTGCTACCTATGTGACATTGCACAAGCAACTTCCCTTCCTGAGTCTCATTTTTCTCATCTTAAATAATAAAGAGAAAATTGGATCCCTGCCCTCATGGAGCTTATAGTCTGTTAGAGGAATAAGACACCAAACAAATAGCATCATACCCAAGAATGTATGATAAATTCATTAGGGAGCAGCAGAACAAAGTCTATCGAATGATCCCCAAGTTCCCTCCTGGCTCTAAATCTAATGAGTATATAAAAGTATTGATTTTATTGTACATTATGATAAATGAATGCTGAATGTATTCCTAATTGCAGTAGCTTCAAACTCTGTTGATCCCCTGCTAGCCAGCATGACTCTTCTCCGAAGAGCTCCTGACTTTTACTCTGGCGGGTAGAACTGATAACAGGAGGAATACTCTTACTTGTTAAGGATTCATGTGGATCGTTCATTCATTCATTCAATAAATATTTGATGAGGGTTTAGCACAGGACCTGGCACATAGTAAGCACTTAATAAATGTTTGCTGATTGGCTGATCCCTTGCTGCATACAGAAACCTAGGCCACTTGGGGAGATGGAGAAGAATAAGAAAGAAGCCTTGGCCTCACAGATCTCATGCTTGAGTGGGGGACAATAGAACCCATTGTGTGGGTCTGAGGATAAAGGTAGTAAGAGCTCAAAGGAGGGAGAGCTCAATGTGTTCTAGGGAGGTCACAGAAGACTTCACAGAGGAGACAGAATTTGAGCTAAGTCAATGAACTTGGAAGATTGGACTGGAAGAGGGGAAAGAAGAGGGCATGGATCGGAGGGCAGGAAAGAAGGCCCCGAGGAAGGGAGGAAGGAGCAGGAATGGAATGTGAGAACAGCAGGAAGGGAAAATACGGAAGGCTTCTTGCCTTTGTCATGTCCAGAGGGAAGTTTGAAAAGCTAAGGGACACAAAGTCCCATGGGAATCTTACTCGATTGTCGTCTGATCCAACACTCCTGTGACAGGAATCCCATAAAACTGCTGCATAGTGGTGACCGCTGACTGCAAGGCCTTCCCTGAGGGCATCGTGGGCACCCGGGCATCGTAGGGAAGCAGATAGCCGTAAGACTTTAACCAGCTCTGTAAAAAAGGAGAGACAGATGGAGATGAAGGAGACAGATCGAGAAAGTGGAAAAGACAGGGAGAGGGAAGAAGGGAGACAGACAGAAAGGCCCTAGGGAGGAGGCAGTAAGGAGACAAAAAATGAGAGACACATACATACATATGGAATATGCATATGTGTATATGTGTGTATATACATAGTGTGTGTGTGTGTGTGTGTGTGTCACAGAGACAGAGACAGGCACAGAGTGAGACAGAGACAAAGAGAGACAGGGACAGAGACAGAGAGAACACATGACAAATTAGGATCTGGAAGTTCTGACTTCCTTGAAAACTATGGGCTCTTTTAACTGAGGCTGAATGACCCCATATTTGAAAAGTTATTGTAAAGATTTCTTCTAGCTCTGAGACTTTATGATTCTAAGTGTGTGTGTGTGACTAAAAAAGAATGTAATGCATTTGTCTTTAGGTTCCAGGTAGGAAAGCTATTACTGACTAGAACTTCAGACAGACCACCCAGCACAATGACTGGGATCTACATTGGTTAGAAGGAATCATCATCTACTGGGTGGAGGTGTGCAAGGAAGAGGGTGCTCAGAAAAAAGGCCCTAAAATTAATGGCACAAAGTCCATGAACCAAAGTTTACATGCTTTACTACTGAGGAGTCCCTTAATCCTTCACTCATGGCCCAATGATTCTGATTTTATGCACAATTCTAGCAAGTTACATTTGTTACATATTTGATTTCCTAACCCATAGGAAATTAGAAATGGAGAGGAAATGGTTAGAGGCAAGACAGTCATAGTAGCAGTATAAGAGGGAGAGGATACAAAAACCATTAAAAAAAAGAGATCCAAGAACTCCCAAAGCAGCAATCTTAAGTTAATCATTGCAGGGGCAAGAAGCTACCCAAGTCAGCCTCACTAGACCCTGTCCTTGCACTATCAACCTTCATCATGGTTGCATACACTTGGTGCTTTCAATAAGAAGGGAATACATGTATGATCCACAATAGAAAGCTTTCTAACCCCCAAGTGGCTAAAATAAAAGCTCTGGTACTTAAAGGGGTAAACCCTCAGCTACTTGGAAAGGGCTCTCCAGATGACTCATTCCTGAAAGGCTCCAGAGAGCCCTGGCTTCAATACATCTTGTTCTTTAAGAGTTATTTTACTAATTTATACATTTGTGCAATCTGACAGGGTTGTTGTAGGAATCAAATGATGTAATGTATGCAAAGCACTTTGCAGATCTTAAAGTACTAAATGACTGTGAGTTGTTCTTATTGGCTGAGTGAAGAGCTATTTGATCAGCATTAGTGACCAAGTGGAGATAATTTAGTTTATTCTGAATTATATCAGGTATGGCAGATTTGGGGACCTGTGGCTCCTCCTTTAAATCTTTTTCTGATTTTGGCCCCCAGCTAACTCCCCCAACTTTCTCAATGACTTTAGTACCTGAACTTACTGTCCTCTTTTCCATCCCATCCCCTGCCATCATACTGAGGGGTTAGAATATTCATGCTGATGGCCCCTTGCTAATGCTCCGACTCCACAATCCCTCAGCCTCCTTAACCCAATAATATCATCCTCCAGCCTGCTTCAACTATGTCCTAATGCCAATGGATTAATTCACACCATTGGCCTCTCACCACCTCCCAGAACTTTGAAATGCCATTCTTCTACCACAATCTCCTCTCCTACTTCTTGTGCTCTCTCCTTCACATGAAACCTAGGGCATGGGGGAGAGCCAGGGGAGAGCCAGGGCAAAGACGAAGAAGGCAGGTGGAACATTATATAAGCAAGAGTAAGATGGCCAGCTTGGCTGGATCATAGAGTTCATGGAGAAGAGCAATGTATAATTGATTGATTAATAATACTCCTTAGCACATTCCCCCTTTCACCTGTCCTCTCCTTTTGCTCCCGACCACACCCTAAATCCAAATGCTTAGAACATTTAGCCTTCTATTTGCACTCAGATTATAGGGGTCCTCCAACATGAGCTCCCTTGGCTTTTCTTCCTCCATTCTTCAACTTATCAGCCTCATCACCACTCCCTCCTCCTCCTTTCTGATCCAGGAAGTGAGGTTTCTGCTCCACTGTAAGACTAATTCCCCTCTGAGACTTTTCTCCAGTTGTCCTGCTTTCCCTCTTATGTGTATAGTCAATCTTGCTTCAGATATGACCCCTTCTGATATTCTCCTACAGACAGGCTCAGGTCTCTCAAATCCTAACATAGCTATCGCTCCTCTTCCTCTCCTTCCTTTTTACTGCTAAACATTTTGAAAATTGCTTACACAGGGTGCCTACACTTTCACATAACTGACATTCTCTCCTCCACTTGCTATCCATTTTTGTCCACCCACCATTTTATTAAGACTGTTCTCTCTGAGGTCAACAATTAGCTTCTAATGGACAAATCTAATGGGGTTTTTTTTTTCAGTCATCATCTTCCTCAGTTACTCTGTGGCTTTTGGCACGATTGACCACTCACACCTACTATATATGCCTGTTCCTCCTCTCTTCCCTTCCTACCTCTCTAACCGTTCCTTCTCTATCTTCTTCCCTGCCTCCCCATCCTCTCCCTAACCTGCTGAAGTGAATGTTCCTCAGAGATCTGCACTTGTCCCTCCTCTCTTCTCACTCCATTATACTCTTCCTTGGTCACTTCATTCTCTCTCATGGCTTCCCTTCTACATGGATACCTTGTAAATCTCTGTCTCTAGCCCTTACCTCTCTTCTGAGCTTCAGACCTATATCTCCAGGTGCCCATGGAACATCTCCACCTGGATATCTCACAGGGCCAAACTCAACATGTCCATGAGAGCTCATTCTCATTCTCCCCTCTGTCTTTGGCACCACAATTCACCCAGTCTCTCACGTTCACGATCTTCTGCTGCTCTTTGATCCTTCCCCCTCTCTCACTTCTCACATCCAATCAATTACCAAGTTCTGTAGATTGCATCTCCACAGTCTCTCTCACACATCTGTCCTCTCCTCTTTGTTCTTAATGCCATCACCCTTGTATAGGTCTACATTACCACCTGCCAGGACTAAATTAGTCAACTGTTCTTCTTTTTTTTTGTGAGGCAATGGGGTGAAATGACTTGCCCAGGGTCACACAGCTAGTAAGTGTCAAATCTGAGGTCATATTTGAACTCAGGTCCTCCTGACTCCAGGAACAGTGCTCTACACACTGCAGGATCTAGCTGCTTCCATTAACTGTTCTTCTTGTCTCCACTTCCTCTTCCCTCCTCCAATCCATCCTTAATACCAGAATACTACTAAAATAATCTTCTCACTCTTAGATCCGATCACGGCCACTCCTGTGCTCAAAAACCTTCAGTGTCTCCCTATTACCTACCAATTAATACTCAAATTCCTCTGACTAGCATTCAGGGCCCTCCAGCAAACATATCACATAATCTCCTGTACATTTGCTCAGGCTGATTCTATTGCCAATAATGTCCTCTTACTCTTTACCTCCTGAATCCATCCTTGTCCTTTAGAACTCTAACTCAAATGCTGTCTCTTCCACAAAACCTTCCTGTCACCAATCCTGTTCTTCCCTCCCCATCTCCTACCTCCCAAGTGTTGGCAATGATCTTCCTTTTGGACTACACACAGCACTTTGTTTTGTACTTTTCTGATGTACTTATCAAGTGTTATTATACATTATGTTATTTATTTTAGTGTCTTATCCCCCTGCAAGATCTTAAGTTCCATAAGGGAACAGACACTATGTCGTTGAAACCTTATACCTACCTTAACACCTAGCAAACTGATCTGTATACAATAGGCATTTAATAGTTGGTTAGTTTAATTTCTTCCTAATTATATTTGGTGGAATACAAGTCATGACAATACCTACCAAGGCTCCTAGTACCAACCCATGACGACTATATGTCTGTCTTCTGATTACCAGACATTAGGTAAATGTCTGTTTACCAGAGGGCTGGCCACCAAAACATGAACTTCTTTGGCCAAAGAAACTTATGAAGACCATCTACTGAGGTGTGAAGGGGTTGGTATCTGGAACCACACTAATGAAACCACAGATCTTAATAGAAGACTCTAGGGTCATAACTCTAGAGCTAAGATGTATGTCAGAACGATCTTATCTGCTCCAACCCCCTCATTTTACAGATGAGGACAATGGAGTTCACAGAGGGTAAGTACCTCACTCAAGGTCCTAGAGGTAAAGTGGCAGAGCCATGATCATTTGGAGGATTTAAATACCACTTTGGGGTACTAGATAAAATTAAATTGAAAATGTATCAAAACAATTTGTAGGCTGATCCATTTGCCCCTATCCATCTTTTTGTTGTCATTGTTTAGAATTTATTAATCTGCTCAGGTCTGACAATGGCTACTATTCCTGGATGATCTATACTGTAGGTGTAGCAATTCTGTGACTTGTCATCACCTTCAGCTCCTACCCCATAAAAGCACTGGATTTGGATTAAGTAGACCTGAGTTCAAGTCCAAACTATTTGTGTGACCAAGAGCAAGTCACTTAACTCCTCTGAAGGTCAATCTCCTTATCAGTAAAATGGGAATGATACTTGCTACCTATCTCACAGCATTATTGTAAGGAAAGCACTTTGTAAGCCTTCAAGGACTATAGAGAAGTAACTATCAGCTTCATCTTCATCATCATTATCACCCTGCCAAACAACAGCATCAGTAATTATTAAACACTAGCATTGCTTATCTCGTATGATAAACATGCATGAGCTTCTCTGCCGAAGAGGTGCTTAAATTCTAATAAAATTAGATCCTAATAGAAAGTGTTAGTGCAGGCCCTGTGGACTTAAAAAATTTATATTGCATATATGCCCCAGGTACATTTACTCACACACATACAATTTACTACTGGGGAGGCACTTGGGAACTGTATAGAGCAGAAACCTATTATGTTTTGTAATTAAGATTGTTTCTAACAAAACTCAGCAAAGGAAAACAATCCCACTTCATAGCCAGGATCATTGGGCAGATTTAGATTTAGCTAGAAGGGGCCT